TTATTTTTACCTATATTTTGTGTTTTGTGATAATGTTTGTTGTTCATATAAAACTTTATTATCATGAAATTACTTGATTGTTTGAATTTTTGGCACTACCATTCGTTACTTAAATTTTCAGACAACTATATAGAGAAAAATTAGGAAGAGATTAAAGCATAAAATAACCACTACGTTACCGTTTAGTCATTAACAGATTATTCTAATTAGCTAAAATTTCCTATAATTAATACTTTTTTTAGGGATTTGCTAGAATAAGAAATGAGAAAATGAGAAAACCACTAATCCCTTAACACATCATCTTGGTTTAAAATTGAAATTCCCTCCTTTTTTTTATTCATAACTTTCTCACATTTTGACAATGACATGTGTTAAGATATTATTAGTTTTTTCATTTTTTCATTTCTCCTTCTAGCTATAATATATATATATATATATATATATATATATATATATATATATATATATATATATATATATATATATATTTTTGACAATATCGCTGTATATATATATTGTAAACTTGTAATGTCCTAGGATAGACTTAGTCTTACTATAATAATCTTTAATTTAAAAAAATTAAAAAAAAAATAAAAATTGTATAAACATTCCAAACAATCTTCTTGCAGTCTTGATTTGGTTACTGACTTTTCCAAACTAGAAAAACCAGATTTCCAGGTATATTACAAAAATAAATAAAAGGTATCGTTGACCACCCTTTCTATTCTTAGGCTTTATGAAAATAGTTTGTAATGTGGATTTTAACCCCTTGTTTAGTCAAGTTTTTAGAAAATTCACAATCTTGAAATAAAGATCCAATCTTGAAGGATTTCTGTAAGATTGAATATAAACGAATTGATATTTCTCTTCACAAGATCACTCCTGAAACTTATGATTCGAATCCCCAAATTAACTAACCCACTCCTGGACGCTAATTATTTTGAGATCAAATTCTTAGCCTACTCCTAGACACTAAGTGTTTAATGTTCTAATCTTTAACCAACTCCTTGAATTGAAAACTAGCAAAAACGTTTAAGCAAAAAGCTAAACAATGAATTTTTATTCAACTGAATTTTTGTGTATTTGTTATGTGTCTTACAAAGCCATGAAAATCCCCTATTTATAGACTAAAAACTAACTAATTTTAAGTCTAATAGAACTAGGACAAGCCCCTAGCCTTTAGCCCTAAGTAACCTAAATAGAATAGGAAAACTAGTTCTACTTAGATTAGGAAACTAGTAGTAAGACTATAAAATATTTTCACATATTTAAATAATTATGTTAATAAATAACTATAAAATCAGAAATTAAAGGGATATTATTAATAAATAATATAATTGATTAATTGATATTATTTTACCATCATTTACCTTGATTTATTCTCTCGGATATGCATATATTGACTCCGTATCTTTATGATTTATTATAAAATAAAATAATTTTATAATTTTTTTTCCCATTAAGCATATCTGCTCGTCCTTCTCAATCTTTCTTGTCCACAAATTTAATCAAGAGAATGTCAATTTCTGATAACTTTTATCATTAATTACGTAGTAGTTTAAATTTTGTGATCAAATAAAAATGCTATAGCAGTTTTGTTCAAAAAATTAAAAAAAGTAAAAAAAAAAATTGGCAAAATTTTCAAAAATGATATAGCATTTATTTTGTTTATATATTATTCCTTGTTTAAATATTAGGCGTTATATGTGTTGCTCTGGTGGTGCGGTAGTGTGGTCAGGGGTTCGAGACCTCTAGACAATTTATTGTTTTTTTTCTTATTTTTCTTTCCTTTTTAAAAGAAATTATGTAGAGATAGCTTTCTAATCTACAATACTCTCTATTTATATTAATTCTTCCCATTTTCATGCAAATCTTGTTTTCCAAAGCTCGTATTTGATCATCAAATAATTTAGTATGTACTTTCTCTATTCTTTTTTAATTGACCTATTTCTTTTATCATACTTTACAATATAAAACTTTAACGATCAATAACTTTAATTCTCCATAAATAAAAATAATAAAAATTATATATTATGACTGTATATATTAAAACGAATAAAAAAGATCTCTTATGAATATGTTTTTCTTTACATATTATTCATAAAAGACGGTCAAAAAGGAGTGATGAATAGTGTAAAAGTTTTGAAGGTTCAATTCCTAGTTTTATTGGAAACATGCAGTCCCTTTCACATCTTAATGTCGGAGCGAACCAATTAGAAAGCCCGATTCCAGATACAATTTCAAACATAAAGCCCTTAACACATCTCATCATCTAATTCATTAGTAGGCACTCTCTCTGGCAACCACTTCTCTAATCTTTCAAGATTGACATCGATGGATTTGTCCAACAATTCAGCGTTGTTACTCAATATCGATACTGATTGGGTTCCTCCATTTCAACTGGACTCCATCACATTAAGTTCCTGTGGCTTGGGGCCCATATTTCCAAAAAATGTTACTTGATTATTCTTGTGCCCTAAAGACAAATTAAATCAAAATCTAAACCTCTCAAATAACTTGTTGTCCGGAAAACTTCCCGATTGCTGGGAGAAATTTAATCAACTATTGTTGCTAAACTTAGAAAACAATAGATTTTTTGGTAGTATACCACCCTCCTTTGGTTACTTACATTTAAGCGACAATAGCTTTTTAGATGCGAGATCAGTGACAAATTGTACGTCTTTAGTTAATCTCGATCTTGCTCGTAATTCATTGAGTGGGCATATACCGACTGGAATTGGGAACAATTTGAGAGGTCTTAGTTTTCTCAGCTTAAAAAGCAATAATTTTTAGTCTTTGTCAATTATCTTCCTCCAAATTTTGGATCTGTCCATCAACCAAATAACTGGCACCATTCCTAAATGCATATGTAATCTTACAGCAATGCGAAATGGAACAAATTTACAACCTTGCATATGAATTTATAATCAATAATGACACTGGTGCGAGTATAACATATTCATTATGTGGAAGAAGACAGATCGGAGTCTTATGAGTTCTGTATTGGGATTAACCAGATTAATAGACGTGTCTAGCAATAAGCTAGGAGGAGAAATTCCCTTCCAAATTTCATCTTTGGTTGGTCTTGTCGCTTTAAACTTATCACGAAATCATTTGCATGGAAATATTACTGCGATTGGACATTTGACATCTCTGAATGCACTTGATTTGTCAAACAACCATTTTTCTGGTGAGATTCAATTCCTACGAGCCTTGCTGATTTATATGGACTTTGTGGAATGCCACTTCCAAAATGTCCTTGGGATCAACTACCCGGCAATAATCCAGTAAATGAAGATAATATCAATCGCCAGCATAAGAGTGGAATCGACGACTTTTATCTGGGGTTATACATCAGTGTGGTGCTTGGATTCATTATTGGATTTTGGGGAGTTTGTGGAACATTGGTGCTCAAAAGATCTTCGAGACATGCCTTTTTCCGATTCTTTTGTGACGTGAAAGACAAGCCTCTATGTCATGGTTTCCGTCAACATAGCCAAGATTCGAAGGAATAGCATGTATCTAGCTAAGTAGCTAATCATATACTTCATATTTAGTCTGCCAAAAAACATCGTCAAGAAGGAATAGCATGTAATGTTAGCTTATAATTATCTTAAGATAGTGGCCAAACTTGCCAACAGATCTACTAAGTAATTTAAATCTTAAGACAAGAAGATGTATCTATGATTAACCATACTGTCATGTCCCTTCTTAGAGTTCTTACCTACTTAAATTAAGTTCTAACTCTTTGTTTTTTGAGGTGATAGACTCCTAATCTCATTTGACATACTACAACCATACCATATAAATATACTTACCATATATTTATAATTTACATGCATTCCTTCTTAGCTACTTTCTTCATAATTTCATTATTTTTCAATTTATAATCAAAATACAAGAAGATAGCACCAACAAGGCAACAAATGGCAAGGACAATTGTACTTTGCTGCTTGCTCCTTAGCATGAGTTGGGCTACTTTGAAATCAGCACAAGCCCAAGAAAATGGAATGACAAAGAAAGCCCAAATCCAAATCTACTACCATAACCAAATAACGTACCCTGATCCAGATGTCGTTACGGTGGCAAGCCCGAATGGTAATGGAAACTTCTCGGCTGGGAACCTAGTGGTGTTGGACGGCCCAATCTATGATGGTCCAGAGCCCAATTCAACTATGGTGGGCCGAATGTTGGGCACGTTTACGTCCGCTAGCCAGTCAGACCTTGGGCTAGTAATTGTACTTAACCATGTGTTCACCAATGGGCCTTACAAAGGGAGCACTCTAACTATGGTGGGCCTGGGCTTCCCGGCATCTCAAGTCCGGGAGCTACCGATTGTTGGTGGGTCGGGTATGTTTCGCCTGGCCCGTGGATTCGAGTTGAGCCGAAGCTTTCTGTACCGATTGATAAGAATACCACAGCTCCTAGAGTTGAGTTTCAGCTTAATGTTTACTAATAACTTCATGTACCTTGCATCACTTTGTTGTAATAAATTACTTCCTGGTGTAGTGGTGTAATAAACTTTATTTCAAGAAGAGGAAATCAGAATAATTTTACGATTCAACTTGGTTTATTACCACAACTTGTTGCTCATTCAAAGGTTCAAATCCAATGTAAGTATATGCGTAACTAAATAACCAAAAATGACTTGAATTAAACCCGCCCCAAATATGAAAATATTTATGCTTCAATCATTAGCATGGACTATGACAAAAGCTTTTTTGACCCTAAACCAAACCAAATGACTAATTAAAGAAAGATATATTGAACTGTATTTGTTGTCCAAAATCGAATTCAATCCGAACAGTCCGTATAGTTGTATATAACCTCTATTCTTACATCTCTTCTACCCCGTATTACAAAACGTAGACGGTAGAACTTGCCAAATGAATAGTTGTACAACTTTAGAATACTAGACAGCTAGAGTAGGAGTACATGTTTGCCCAATTCCCCATATTCAAAGCCGTTGAAACCCACGAAAAAGAACAAGAAAACGGACAAGAAAAAACAGCATGCTAATACTTTATCATCCCATATTATATAATAACTCAAATTTTACAAACAATCTCAATCGAATATAGTTCAAATTATACATTAATTATAACTAAACAAAACCCATCAATAAGCCAAAAGATGGAGAATCATCAATAATAAAATAAAAACTACTACTACTATATGAATATAAATACAAAAATCAACATTTATTTTTTTTCTTTAATTCATAATTACCTCCTAATCAATAATTAAAAACTATAATTAGGCTTAAACAACTTATCCCTTAAAGCAGCAAACCTTGATTTCTTCTTTTCACTTACATCAACCACACCTTGCTCATCCTCTCCCTTATCAAATCCATCACTTTCTCCACCATCAAAAGCAGGGTGACTCAAAATACAACTCAATAGTTGTGTTCCTCTAAGGGCATTTGTCAACGGCAAATGCCCTTCAGGAGGAACAGCAACATCGTTATTATTACTACTATTATTACTATTACTATTATTAGTCGAGTCCTTATTGTTAGACTCGACCTTATCATCAACATTAAGCTCCCATAAAAACTCATTAGGAAACGCCCTATAATTGAACTGCTCAATTTCAGTATCAAGCTTCTTCATCCAGCCAACCTTAATAAAAAACCTAGTAAAATCCTTATCAACCTTCAACCATATCTTCCTCTGAACACTGTAGCCGAAGCGGTTATTGCTAAACTTCCTCCAAAGCTCATCAATAGCCTGAAGATCATCCTTGGGTATGAACTGAACTTCCGAAAAGAAAACATATCCACGTTTAACAGCAGCTTCACCGGCAAGTACGATGATGAGACGGCGAGTTTCATCATCAGCTCGGCGGAAGTCACCAGAGGCGAGATAGCGTTGGAGGGTGTCTAAAGAAAAGGCGGTATCGGGAGAAGTGGTAGGGGTGTTAGTGGTAGTGGCCGCGGTAGAGGTAGTGAAAGGTAATGTGATCATGTGCGAATGTAGGGAGATGGTATTGGGGTGTTTGAAGGAAATGGTGGAAGAGGAAGGGAGGGAGGAGTAGTCTAAGGAGTGTCGCCGAGCACGACGTGTTGTCGTGCTCGGCCCCGAGTATGGGCTAGAGTAGTGCTGAGATTGGTGGTGGTGAATAGAGGCCATAGGAAGAGATGGATTGGTAGTGGTGAATGAACAAGGGCTGCTGGTGGTGAGTAAAATGACAAGTATGAAACTAAAAAGAAGGGAGGGAAATAGAGATATAAGGTTAGGACAACTAGGAAGTAAGGGGAGGTTGATCCAAGAGGATAGAAAGAATGATTTTGATTGGTTAGAAAAGGGTGAGGGTGGGATTTTCTCTTTACTTTATCATTTTCTTATTTGCTTTTATTATGCTATGATATGCTGGAGATATTGGTGTTTTTTTGGGAAAATTTTATTATTAGAAATTTTTTAAAAAAAAAACCCAGAGAGGAAAATTTGTGGGTGATATGTAATGCAATAATGAGGGATGGTGACAAGTGATGGGTTAAATTTAGAGAATTGGGGGTGTGAAAAGTGTAAAACATGCAACTTTGGCATATAACAAATGCTGAGGAAAGAGAGATTTGTGCAAATTTTAGGAAGAAAATTGTACGAATTATATACATTTCAATCTGCTTACATATACTTGTATGTTGTATATGATGAAAAACTTCATAATTATGGTTTGAAATTAACAACTTTTAAATATTTTTCTAAAATGGAAAATGGAAAGTGTACTTTATTAACTTATTAAGTGTGGTTTGTTTTAATTTGAACTATGAACAAGTGTTTGATGCCATTGATGGTCTTTTAATCGTGCAAATTAAAGTGTAATCTGATAATTAGGCTTGGTTTAGAAGCAGAACTAGCTTTGCTGGCGTAATGGATTTGGACCGTGCATCCGTGCCTTAAACAGTTAAACCCACGAGTTAATTGTGTTCGAGTAATAGTATATAGTTGAGGGCTAAGCAAGACACCTTGTCCTTAGTATATAGAATGGTACTTAACGCCAAATGCCCCGTCGAAAAATAGGCCACACAATGAGACTGAAACTAACGTGTAAGAAACCAACATGAAATTCTAAAGCAAGTAAGAAACCAACATGAAATTCGAAAGCAAGTAGATCTTATAATTAAACCAGTACAATCAATCTCAAAATGTAGGACAGTTAATCTAATGGTTAAGAAAGATTTAATGGTTTTTTTTTTTATAAATTATAAAAGTGCATAATTGATATCTAGTTAACTACTATGTAGTTGCACTGCATAAAATAGAGAATATAACATCATGTTATGCATTTGATTTGTGAATTATAAATTTAACAAAGGGATATAATATCCTATATTTTAAAATAGATAGAAGACAAGCTTTTCTTCGCAATCTACATCGCTTAAGTCAAGAACGAACATCCCTAGAGAGTTCTGAACCGGGAACGCACCAGCCACCCTCAAGTGTCTGCGTGTCATTAACTCATTACTCAATACGAGCCTTAACATTAAACCTTTTACTTATGTGCTTCATGACCATATCGGTGTTAATACGACTCATCCTAGGATATGATCTTGAAGTAGCAAGTCTACTCAGCTTTAACTGTGAAGGTGTTGTAAAGACATAAACTCAAGCTTGCCAGACTCATCGACTTGTACAACTCTACTAGTGCACTGTTAGTTTTTACCACTGGACTATGAGTGAACACAAGCATAACACAGCTCATAAGCAAACTGAGTTACTACCTTGTGCTTCATGGCATTAAGGTCCAATGTCCATGTAGGACACACTCTAACTAAGGTCCGGTTTTCCTGTCAACCAAGCAAGCCCAAGAATGAGCTCACTGCGCTCTCTAATTATGGTCACAAACTGGTGAAATTAAATATACAGATGTATACAAGGGGAGTGAGTATGAGAGAAAATGAACTAACACATACTAAAAACTGAAAATCCTTGAATATATCTATATAATTATGTAGCAATCTTTCCATAGCCTAATTTCTTGAGTTATATACAATTCAAAATCCACCTCTAGCTACAACGATGAAAAAACTCAAACCGCATTACTTGCACGCATCCAGTTTGTGAAGTGACATATTTCACAGATAATTTAAGAATAAATGATAACACCAGCTAACCAAGACCAAGGAAGCAAACCCCTCCTAATGCCACAGATTCAATAAGCCACTGGTGGAAATCAAATGTCAACAGCCATTCCGGGCCTGAAATGTTGAAATTTAAAAAGCAAATTTGAAGTTAGAGAAAAATCATAGATCGAGGGCAGTAGGATACTAGGATGGTATTAACAATATTTCCAAGTTCCAGACTCCAATCCTAACACTTTTTCACACGTAGGAGTCTATAACTACAGAACTAAACTCCTAAAAAGGAAAGGGGAAGAAAAGGCCTCTAACTCGCATGAAGCCAACCACATTGCAGAACACTGACCAGAGGACCCCTAAAAACCCCATTGATGCATAACCCAATAGAATCCAATTACTTCGCATATAAAGAGGCACAGATCAGTCAGCCCATGAAGATTTATAATTGAAAGAGACTTACCAGGAAATGGAATTAAACAAGTCAATCACTAGGCACAAGGGCAAAGCCTTCTTGTATGCTGATGCAAACCATCACACGTGAACATCGTCTGTGATTTTGTGTATAAGCATGCTCCCGGGTACTGGGTAAAGAAAAAAGTAATCATAACTTTGCTTTAGTTTCAGGTAATCTTTCACTACAGGTCCATTAAAAGGGAAAATACAACCCTGAAGTCCAGAACTTCAGAAACAAATCATCCAGTTTTAAAATGTCACTGTGGAAATGCAATCGTCTTCTTGCTACTACCATTTAAACCCAAATTGCAGTCTAAATAATCAACCATAGCATGCTTGCTTCTAGTAACTGTAAGGTAATTATTGACAGAGAAAATGACATAGATGCAGCATGTATGTCAGCAAGTGGACAGGAAAGATAAAAATGAAGCACACATCAGGATTTCTCTTCGACATAGATGTTTATAGACTACAGCACATGACCACACACAACCAAAGAGCCCAATTATATTCAATCCTCTTATATAAATCTTTCAATTATCTATTTATCTTTAGAGCAAAACCTACATAAGTCCAGGCTTTCAGTCTATCATAGTGTTTTAAGTGTTTCTAAATTTCGCCTAATATTCAATTCCTCAAGTGGACATGAATATCAACAATTCAACAGGCCTGTTTAGTGTGTTTACCAAAAACATCAACCAACAGCCAATTCCGTCAATTATTATAATTCTTCCTATCATTGCATTTTTTTTCTTATTTTTACTTTCCTATTTCCATTTCAGTGTAATTACTCATTTACTCGTCCATTTGAGGTAGACAGTGAGTACAGGACCAACTGTACTGGTTGCTGTACCAATGCTGAAGGATTATATCACTCCAATTGAAATTATTATACTCATTTACTTACAGAGAAATGAGAATAAAACAAGGTGCCACACTTTATTCAGAATCCAGAAGGAAGTCAATTTTTTGGACCCCTAATCAGCAGTTCAATAAAGAGAGAGTAAGGCATATATAGTATATACCAATTGCTTAGGTGCACCATCGCTAACTTCTGCTGGCTGATCTGGCCCCATGCTTGCTAAACACCCTCCTTTGCAGTTCATGTACTTCTGCATACTACCATCACAGACAGCACAATATATATACAATTATTGAAAGAGCCAAAGAGGTAGAAAGCATTAAAAGAAAAAAAAATGTGCAGCACATGATGACCATCACAATCACTAAATTTGATTAAACTAAACTGCTTTGAACATTTTGGAGCTTATCTGTGCTTATTGGAAATTATCTTAACTTATTTTGGTTGTTAATTGAATTAAGGTAGGCCTTAATGGAACTTATAAACAGCTTATCTGAACTTATCTTTCCCTAAATATATAATACCTTTATCAGAATTTCATAAAATGGAAAATAACATGAAGGCAAAAAAAATAAAATAAAATAAAATAAACCTTGAGCTGTCCTACTACCAGTGTTCAGCACTCAGAAATAAACTATCTTTAATAAGCATAAGGAAGTTTTCCCCTTAAAAATTTATTTTCCCTTACATGGGATGTTATATGGAGTATTAGTCCTGTTTGCTGGTGAGTGAAAGAAACGCAAACAAAAATAAATAAATAAATACAAAAAAATAATAATTACAAAAAAAGGCAGGATACTCCTATTTAGCAAAGGTAAAAGGAAACAATGAGCTACTTGCTCAGTGAAACATAGCATGTTGTGGATAGTGGAACAATAAGTGTCTTGCAAATGTTGCAGTCTTTCATAAAGAAAAAAAAAAAAAAAAAAAGTGTTATAGCTTACATTTCACATTGGTTAAGCACCAAAAGCCTGCTAGGAACACACGACTTCCCACTCGACTTGCAAACAGTGTTACATGATTCACCCTGCCTGTCCCACCGCAGATTCCAAATGACACAAAATCAACTTCCATTGATAAACCAATATAAGTAAATAAAAAATTTTAAGAAATTAATTAAAAAAAAAAATTATAATCAGATCATAAGTTCACACCTTCCAACAACAATGCTAATGCCAGCTAATCTTGATTCCATCAGTGTATCAGAGGATCCTGTTTCACAGAAAAATTAGGTGATAAAGACAGAAAACTACGGACAAATACCTAATTGCAGAGAATCATGTGGAAAGAAAACAAAATTGAATAAGGCAAATTATCTGCAGAGTTCTTTACAGAATTCAAATAGTGTAAAAGAACTTCAGAAGCAACTAAAGGTTTCTCATCCTACAAAAGAGCACTTAAAGTATCAACACAGACACATAGGTAAGTGATAATGTGAAGTTAATACGTTGGATAAAATTAGCAAAAAGTACAGTTCATTACAGGTCAAAAGCCAGTGAAGTATTCAACAAACATTTCTAATAAATCTAGTCCATGTGTGAGAATATTTGCCAAAATGGTGCAGCTGACCTGAGGTATTTGATGGCAAAGAAAAGCAGTGGTGGAAATCACTCAGATAAGCATTTTCGTGTACCTGAAAAGCAGTGACCAGTCAACTTATATAATTAATCAAGGCATGAAATTAAACTCAATATAAGTTCCAAACATTAAACATAACACGACACTGAATTTAGCTTCAGCTTGCATTTTGCCTAAAGATCTCTAGAGTCTAGAACCGTTTTTTTGCTGGATTATGTTGGGGAGAAAAGACCTAAGTCAAACCTTAACAGCGCATATAATAGTAATTTATGGTATCATACAGTAATTTTTATTATAGTAATTTCCCCTATGACAAGGAGAAAGAATCATGGCAATGCAGATACCTACATGAACAGCTGAATAACCACCACCATACTCCACAAATAGCAAGTTTAAAATTATAAACAGCACGGAACCCAGTTAATATTCCAATTGATAAATGAGAAATCACAAAGGGAAACAATACATACCACGCTCTCAGAATTGTGACGGCACCTCCCAGCACAGAAATCAAAAA